CCATCGTTGATGGAGTTCAGAATGCTTTTTGATTATAGGTGAACTATAAATCCCAGCAACTACAACTCCCAAATGACAAAATCATAATTTTTTGAGTGATGGTCACTTCTTATGTTGTGAGACGTTTTGTTGCCAAATTTGGTGTGATTTCGTTTATTGGTTCTTTTGTTTTTAAGGTACTCGTTATGCACAGAGCATTTTTATATATATAGACTAGCTTTACCCGCCACGCGTTGCTGTGGCCAACCTTCTCTCCCTCTTTCTCTCCTTCTTTCACTCCTTTTTTTTTCTTTCCCTATTTTTCTTCTTTCTTCCATCTCTACCTGTTTCTTTCCTCCCTTTCTTTGCTCTTTGGTTACATCCTTCCTCCTTCCTTCCCTATCTTTCATTCCTTCTCTCCTTCCTTCCCTCTCTTTTTCCTTTCACTTTTTTATTTCCTTCTCTCCTTCCTTCCTTCCTTCCTTCCTTCCTTCCTTCCTTCCTTCTTTCCTTTCCTTCTTGCCTTCTTTCCTTCTTTTCTTCTTTCACTCCTTTGCGGACAGTAAGGGTTGAATGGTGTCTGGTGGAGTCTTCTCTGCAGCAGAGGCTGGGTGGCCATCTGTCGGGAGTGCTTTGATTGTGCTTTCCCTGCATGGTTGGGTGGCCCTTGGGACCTCTTCCAACTCAGGGGTTCGATGACACTGTGTTTTCACCCGAAGCCAAAACAACTGGGCACCGCAACTAAAGAGAGATATTGACAGGCTGGAATGTGTCCAGAGAAGGGCGACTAAGGGTCTGGAGAACAAGCCCTATGAGGATCGGCTTCAAGAGCTGGGCATGTTTAGCCTGAAGAAGAGAAGGCTGAGAGGAGACATGATAGCCATGTGAGAGGAAGTCATAGGGAGGAGGGAGCAAGCTTGTTTTCTGCTTCCCTGGAGACTAGGACGCAGAACAATGGCTTCAATCTGCAAGAAAGAAGATTCCATCTAAACATTAGGAAGAACTTCCATACTGTGAGAGCAGTTCAGCAGTGGAACTCTCTGCCCCAGAGTGTGGTAGAGGCTCCTTCTTTGGAAGCTTTTAAACAGAGGCTGGATGGCCATCTGTCAGGGATGCTTTGAATGCAATTTTTCTGTTTCTTAGTAGGGGGTTGGATTGGATGGCCTATGAGGTCTCTTCCAACTCTATGATTCTATGATTGCACCCCACAAGAAACATGTTTGCAGTCTTCTCATTTGTGTGTGAGTATTAGGAGTGACTTGAGAAACTGCAAGTCACTTCTGGTGTGAGAGAATTGGCTGTCTGCAAGGACATTGCCTCTCTGTGGGTTCTGTGGGTGACAGAACCCACAGCCCTGGCAAACGGTGCCACTGACAGCCTTCTTCTATGTGGCCCATTGAGGAGTCCCTTCCAGTCAAGCAGCTCAGCTTCTACCAAAGGGGATATTTAGGGATTTTACTTTTATGTCGCTTTTGGCTTCTTAAACTCGGGACAGGGGCATTCATTGGCGAGAAGGCAGAGAAGGGACTTCTTTTCCCGCCTTTTCTGAGGCCAAAGCACCTGAGGTGAACTAAAGCCAGGTGTGGGATGGGTCCAGGAGGGCGCGAGAAATGCGCGGGAAGCGAAGTCTGACAGGAAAAAAAATCCGGTTTCTGTTCAGAAGAAGCGAAGGAAGGCCAAGAGGGTCTTTGGGGCAGAAAATACTACTTTCAAGCTTTAAAAATGGCCCTCATGCCAAGGAGAGCTTGACTCTAACCAGGGCCTGAGAGCCCCTCCACATAGCTGAATAACATCCCACATTATCTGCTTTGAACTGGAATATATGGCAATGTGGACTGAGAGCCCTTCCCCACAACCCTATAACCCAGAATATCAAGGCAGAAAATCCCACAATATCTGCTTTGAACTGGGTTATCTGAGTCCACAGTGCCATATATTTTTATATTACATGTAATAATATTACAGTATAGTGGTATAGTACAATATAGTAATGCATAACACTAATATTGTGCTGTGTTAATAATATAATATATTGTATACACATATAATATTGATAATATTATAATGTAATACAATATAATATTAATAATAACACAAAATAATTATATGTTTCATATTAAATGTAATATTACTAATAATATTATAGTATAGTACAATATAGTAATATAATACTAATATTGTTCTGTGCTAATAATATAATATATTGTATACACATATAATATTGAAAATAATGTAATACAATATAATACTAATAATAATATACTATATTTCATATTACGTGTAATATTACTAATAATATTACAGTACTAGCCGTCGCCTGCCACGCGTTGCTGTGGCCCTCAGGGGGGTTCTGTGTGGGAGGTTTGGCCCAATTCTATCATTGGTGGGGTTCAGAATGCTCTTTGATTGTAGGTGAACTATAAATCCCAGCAACTACAACTTCCAAATGTCAAGATTCTATTTCCCCCAAACTCTACCAGCATTCACATTTGGGCATATTGAGTATTCGTGTAGAGTTTGGTCCAGATCCATCATTGTTTGAGTCCACAGTGATCTCTGGATGTAGGTGAACTACAACTCCAAAACAAAGGACACTGCCCACCAAACCCTTCCAGTATTTTGTTGGTCATGGGAGAACTGTGTGCCAAGTTTGGTTCAATTCCATCGTTGGTGGGGTTCAGAATGCTCTGTGATTGTAGGTGAACTATAAAGCCCAGCAACTACAACTCCCAAATGACAAAATCATTTTTTTGAGTGAAGGACATACACTGGGTTGTTAGGTGTCTTGTGTCCAAATTTGGTGTCAATTCGTCCAGTGGTTTTTGAGTTCTATGAATATCACAAACGAACATTACATTTTTATTTATATAGATACTGGTGTAGTACAATATGGGAATGTATGTTACTAATATTGTGCTATGTTAATAATATAATATATTGTATACACATATAATATTGATAATAGTATTATATTGTAATACAATATATTACTAATAGTAATACAATGTAATAATTATATATTTCATATTACAGGTAATATTACTAATATTACAGTATAGTGGTACAGTACAATAAAGTAATACGTAATACTAATATTGTGCTGTGCTAATAATATAATATATTGTATACACATATAATATTGATAATGATATTATAATGTAATAAAATATAATACTAATAATAATACAATATAATAATTATATATTTCATATTACATGTAATATTACTAATAATATTACAGTATAGCAGTATAGTACAATATAGTGATACATAACAGAACCCCCATGATCAACAGAAAATACTCAAGGCCATCCAGTCCAACTCCCTTCACTAGGACAAGAAAACGTATTCAAAGCCCTCCTGACAAAGAGCCATCCAGCAATAAATATAGATATAGATATATGATTCACACACAGGGATATAATATCATAGATTTGAAAGGGACCTCTAAAGAAGGACTATTATAAGTTGCATGTTCCAGAGTAGGCCAACCAGACAATCTCCACATCAACACTGACAAAGAAACAGCAACAAATACTGTTTACCCACAAACATCAAGAAATAACATATATTAGAAACCAACACTCTGCCCCAGAGTGTGGTGGAGGCTCCTTCTTTGGAGGCTTTTAAACAGACTGGATGGCCATCTGTCAGGGGTGCTTTGAATGCGATTTTCCTACTTCTTGGCAGGGGATTGGACTGGATGACCCATGAGGTCTCTCCCAACTCTGGGATTCTATGATTCCAAATCACCAGACTGGGCCACAGCAACATGTGGCAGGGGACGGCTAGGAGACAGATAATAGAGAGAGATAGATCTATCTATCTATCTATCTATCTATCTATCTATCTATCTATCTATCTATCTATCTATCTATCTATCTATCTATCTATCTATCTATCTATATTCCAGTTCAAAGAAGATAATGTGGGATCTTATTCAGCTGTGTGGAAGGGGCCTGAAATAACCCAGTTCAAAGCAAATATTGTGGAATTTTCTGCCTTGATATTCTGGGTTATATGGCTGTGTGGAAGGGTCCTGAGTTTCCCCCTCAGACAAGCTAGCCAGAGGCTTGTTGTAGGTTTTTTTCGGGCTGTATGACCATGTTCTAGAGCCAGGCATGTAGCGCGGGGGGGGGGGGGGGGCTTGAGGGCTTCAGCCCCCCCCCCCCCGAAATGCTCATGGTGGTTCGCGAAAAGGCCTTACTGGTGCATTATTTAAACTGTTATGTTTATTCATATCATGATCTGATCACCATACTCAATATATCCCATATGCATGGGGGTACTGGGGTAATGATACAAAAGGTTTGCTAGGGTAGACCCTCTTTCACTCAGACTCAGCCCCCCCCACCCCCGAAACTCAGCCCCAACCCCCCCTTGAAAAAATTTTCAGCCCCCCCCCCGATGTGAAATCGAATACTGGAATGACTTAGACCAGTGGTTTTCAACCTGTGGGTCCCCAGATGTTTTGGCCTTCAACTCCCAGAAATCCTAACAGCTGGTAAACTGGCTGGATTTCTGGGAGTTGTAGGCCAAAACACCTGGGGACCCATAGGTTGAGAACCACTGGTCTAGTGGTATCCCAATCCACTTTTTGAACATCTCCTATATCTAAGCATGCTTGCCATAGATGCAGGCGAAACGTCAGGAGGGAATGCCTCAGTCTAGAACATGGCCATACAGCCCGAAAAAAAACCTACAATAAACCAATGATTCCGGCCATGAAAGCCTTGGACAAAGCTAGCCAGAGATTGATCCTCTCCCTGGCCCAGTTTATATAGAAAACGCTAGGGATGGGGCGGGGCCTCAGACAAGCCCCGCCCCCAGAGAGAGGGGGGTGGGAGAGGCCTGTCCAGCTAAGCCTCCCCCTTCTTTCCCCTCCCTTCCAGGGCGCTTTACCTGGGGGCCCTTGACCCCTCCCTCCTCCCCGCCGAGTCTTTCCTTCAGGATTGGCCGGAGGGGGCGTGGCTTCCCTGCGGCTGGCGGTGACGTCACGCCCTCTCCTCCCTGCAGTGTGAATGAATCAAAGCTGCCTTCCTTGGAGCCGCACTCCCAACCAAAGGAAGGAAGGAGGGAAGCAACCAGGGCGCTGCTGTTGCTTCTGCTGCATCACTTTTTTTCCCACCCAGGATCCAGCCAGGCTGGGATCGCAGGAGACCCAAAGGGGTTTGCAGCCCTTCTGCGGTACCCACAAGCATTGCTTTGTAATTTTTTTTGTTATTATCCCTTTGGGGTAGATTATTTTTTTAAAAAAACGACAACAACTTCGCCTTCTCCCAAACATTGCAACTAAAATGATGCAAAGCGCAGCGCTCGCCCCAGAAGGTGCTGTCAAGGGGCTTCCAGACATTCTCGGCGTGCCAATGCAACGTAAGGAATTTCTCTCTATATATATCTATATTGATTTAATAATAAAGAAAACTGGCAGGGCTTGAGTATCGCAGGGGGGGGGTTGTCTCATAATAATAATAATAACTATAGATGTAAAGAATATGTTTTAGTATTCTTGTTATGGTTTTATATTATGTGCTAATGTTTTTGGGCATCGAATCGTGGCCATTGTAAACAGCCCTGAGTCGCCTAAGGGCTGAGAAGGGCAGTATACAAATATAGTATGTATTTGAAGGTGATAAACAGGTTGTTTTCCCCGTCCAGGAGCTGCAGAGACAGGCAAACAAGTCTCCCCGCTCTTTAGATTGGTGGGGAGGGATCTGTCAAAGCAACATGTGCTGAATGGGGAGGACTTGGAGGCGTCCAGTTTGTCCCCCTCTCTGTGGTTTCTGCAGTGAAGTGGATTGCGTGGCGAGAGGGCAGAAAAAGGTCTGGGGTCCCCCAAAAGTGCCCTCCTAGCCGTGCTTTCCATGCTGTCTCTTTGCCATCCGGGGCATTTCTTTTGCTGAGTGTCTTTCAGAGCCTGGATCCAGGCAAAGAAGGGCTCTGGAAAAGCGGGTGGAGGCGCCGGTCCTTGTGTTTACATTGTGCGCCGGATACATATGTGTGTATGCATTAATCCAGTGTTTCTCAACCTGGGGGTCGGGACCCCTGAGCAGTGGTTCTCAACCTTCCTAATGCTGCGACCCCTGAATAAAGGTCCCCGTGTTGTGGTGACCCCCCAACTATAAAATCATTTTTGTTGCTACTTCATAACTGCAATTTTGCAACTGTTATGAATCATAACGGCGCTCCATGCAGTCATGCCGGCCACATGACCTTGGAGGTGTCTACAGACAACGCTGGCTCTTCGGCTTAGAAATGGAGATGAGCACCAACCCCCAGAGTCAGACATGACTGGACTTAATGTCAGGGGACTACCTTTACCCTACCTTATGAATCATAATGTAAATATCTGATAAACAGGATGCATTTTATTTACTGGACCAAATTTGACACAAATTCCCGATACTTCCAAATTTGAATACTGGTGGGGTTTGGGGTGTGTGTGTGATTTTGTCATTTGTCATTTGGGAGTTGTAGTTGCTGGGATTTGAAATTCACGAACAACAAAATTGGGGCAAACTTACCACACCAACATGACCAACAGAAACTACTTAAGGCCATCCAGTCCAACTCCCCTCACCAGGGCAAGAAATCGTAATCAAAACCACAAGACACCTACTAACCCAAAGAGTGATCATCACTAAAAAAAAATAGATGTTGTCATTTGGGAGTTGTAGTTACTGGGATTTATACTTCACCCACAATCAAAGAGCATTCTGAACTCCACCGATGATGGAATTGAACCAAACTTCCCACACATGGGTTTGGTGGGCATTGACCTTGAGTTTGGGAGTTGTAGTTCACCTACATTTAGAGAGCACTGTGGACTCAAACAATGAAGGATCTGGACCAAACTTGGCACGAGTACTCCATTTTCTCAAATATGAACACTGGTGGAGTTTGGGGGAAACAGACCTTGACATTTGGGAGTTGTAGATGCTGGGATTTATAGTTTACTTACAATCAAAGAGCATTCTAAACTCCAATGATGGAATTGAACCAAATTTCCCACACAGGACTCCCATGACCAACAGAAAATACAGGATGGGTTTGGGTTAGGGTTAGGGAAATACAGAAAATACAGGATGGGTTAGGGTTAGGGTTAGGGAAATACAGAAAATACAGGATGGGTTAGGGTTAGGGTTAGGGAAATACAGAAAATACAGGATGGGTTTGGTGGGCATTGACCTTGAGTTTGAGAGTTGGAGTTCACCTACATCCAGAGAGCACTGTGGACTCAAACAATGAAGGATCTAGACCAAACTTGGCACAGATACTCCATATCTGAGCTGAGATTGGTTTATTGACTGTGACATATATTGATTCTTTTTTAACTGTTATAACTTTTTAAATTGCTGTTTTATTCGTTTATCTGTATTATTGTGTTGGCATCGAATTGTGCCTTTTTGTAAGCCGCCCTGAGTCCCTCCTCAAGGGTTGAGAAGGGCGGGGTAGAAGTACACGAAATAAATAAACACTAAATAAATATGCCCAGATGAAATTTGAGGAAAATAGACCTTGACATTTGGGAGTTGTAGTTACTGGGATTTATAGTTACCTACAATCAAAGAGCATTCTGAACCCCACCAATGATAGAATTGGGCCAAAATTCCCACTCCCCTATGACCAACAGCAAATACTATGTTTTCTGATGACCTTTGGTGACCCTTTTGACACCTCTCTCGCGACCCTCTCGGGGGTCCCCGACCCCCAGGTTGAGAAATTCCATTATTGGTGGAGTTCAGAATGCTGTTTGATTGTAAGTGAACTACAAATCCCAACAACTGCAGGGATTATATTATTATCTCGGGTGCCTCTTCTGGGAGGCCTGGGCAGAGAGGTCGCGCGTGTTTTGTTGACAGGTGGAGAGGCAGAGGCGGGTGGGATGTGCGGGGATTCAAAGCAAAGCAGGGAGGAGAGTTCTGCCTGTCGCTTTTCAGCTGCGTGGCTTTCTCTATCCGCCCTGTGTCCACCTAGATGCGTCTGCTTGTAGATTATATCCAGCTAGGCGCGTGGATGACACCCAACCTCTGTTTCCTTCCGACTGCATTTGCCCCAGAAACCAGTCTGAACCAACTCTCAGCTTCATGTCCCACTTAGAAGCCAGGGTTCATCAACCGGAAGCATTACCCTCCCCCCCCCCCCACTTCCACACGGGGAGGGCTTTCCGTTTGTATTTATCCTGCTCTCTCTTGAGATGTGAGTCCCAGGGACTGTCTGGTTCCCTTCGGTCACGCGTGGATCTGCGGATTCCCCGCTGTGTGTCCCCTCCGTGTCCCCAAAGGCCTGATTGACACCCCTCCTTTCTTCCCATAAGGACCCAAACCGGCCAGAACAATATTTATTATTTATTGATTTACGACATTTATATGACGCCCGAAGGGGACTTAGAACGGCTTAATATATATATATATATATATATATATATATGTAGAAACCGCTTTGAGTTCCCTTGGGTAGATAGGGCGGTATTCAAATAAATTATGATTAAGATTATGTTGTTGTTGTTGTTGTTGTAGGTTTTTCCGGGCTATATGGCCATGTTCTGGAGGCATTTTCTCCTGACGTTTCACCTGCATCTATGGCAAGCATCCTCAGAGGTAGTGAGGATGCTTGCCATAGATGCAGGCGAAACGTCAGGAGAAAATGCCTCTAGACCATGGCCATATAGCCCAGAAAAACCTACAACAACCCAGTGATTCCGGCCATGAAAGCCTTCGACAATATATATATATTAGTAATATTACCTGTAATATAAATATATAATTATAATATCATATATATGTTTTATAATTGTATATTTATATTCGATGTAATATTACTAAGAATATTACAATATAATGGAATAGTACTATATATATAATATTAATAATAATATGATATGATATTATAATTATATATTTATATTACAGGTAATATTACTAAGAATATTACAATAAAATGGTATAGTACAATATATGTAATATTATTAATAATAATATGATATAATTATATATTTATATTACATGTAAGATTGCTAATAATATTACAATGTAATGGTATAGTACAATATATATAATATTAATAATATGATATTATAATTATATATTTATATTACATGTAATATTACTAAGAATATTACAATATAATGGTATAGTACAATATAGTAACACTTAATACTGATATTGTACTATGCTAATAATATATTGTATGTATGTATAAATATATCTTGTAAGCTGCTCTGAACCCCCTTTGAATAAATAAATAATAGGGTCGATTGCCTTTTATAGACTAACAATTCATATACATACAATATATTATTAACATAGTACAATATCAGTATTAAGTGTTACTATATTGTACTAGACCATTATATTGTAATATTATTAGTAATATTACATGTAATATAAATATATAATTATAATATCATGTCACTATTAATATTATATTGCATTACATTATAATATTATAAATATAAGTATACAATAGAACATGACACAACCCAATCGAAAAATCAAAACGAAGCAAATACAATTTTTTTAAAAAACACACACACAGAATTAAATACAAGTGCCATACATATAAAGTTAAAATGCAGTCAACATTCAAGAGCTACATGTAATACTAAAAAAAATTAAAATTAATAATACATAATATTAACATAAATAATATTAAAATATATTAAATGTATTAGAAGGACATGTAATACTCCCCATCACCACAATATTATTGGAAAAACCAGGAATCTCCAAAACCTCTGAGGATGGTTGCCATAGATGCAGGCGAAACGTCAGGAGAGAATGCCTCTAGAACATGGCCATATAGCCCGAAAAAACCTACAACAACCCAGTGATTCCAGCCATGAAAGCCTTCGACGGTGCTTTTGGAGATTAATTGGCATTCACACTATTTGGAAAAATCATAACCTTTCGGAAAGAAGGCATGATCTTGTTAGAGATTGTAACTTTTTTTTTTTGCAACTTCCTGAGAAGAGTTTAAAACTTGCTTGAGTGAATTTTCTCCTCGGTGGTAAATATCCACCAGTATTCATGCAAGGCAATTGAGGCTTCCCAGTTGTTAGACTGATATACCTAGTTATCTCTCTGAAGTGTTTCAAACAAAGATATGCCAACGCATAAAATATATAGCAGATCTTCTGAAGTGTTATTTCAGTTGCCCAAAAATATATATACTTACTCTCCCATAAAATATATTGCATTTAAATCATTCTCTCAGGAAAACAAAAATGAGGAATCTTCCTTAAAAGTGAACATAGTTTATTTACTTACAAACTTCATGTATTCAGCATACAGGTACATTTCTTATTGGTTTATTTATTTATTATTTATTAATATACCGCCCTTCTCACCCCGAAGGGGACTCAGAGTGGCTTA